GACTTCGCATTAAATTTTCAATCCCCGCATACGAATTCACAAACAAACCAAATAAATCGCAGTAAATCTCAAAGAAAAAGAAGATAACATAGACAAAAACAACAACAACAAAACAACAACAACAACAACAACTTAATGCATCCCCAACAACCAATTAAGATAACGACAACCCCGATAATTCGAAAACCTCTATACTCGCGTGTTTAAACCTAACCTAAACGCCAACACACAATGATACGGCAGAAAACTAATATCTTTGCCGACCAAAAGCCGCCTCGTAAGTGAGACAGTAAGGCCGAGTTTAGCTTCATCGTCGAGACGGGCCAAAGTGGGTTATCATCTTCTTCCACCAAAGAGGAGAAAAGGAAAATAAAAGATTTAAGAGCATCGCCGGGGATTTTAAAAATGGCTCAAGGAGATGTGTGGAGGGTGTGTGTGTTTTAAAGGAAAGGGCAAGGAGGAGGAGGGAGGAGGAGGAGGGCAGAATAGGAGGAGGGGAGGAGGGCAAGGAGGAGGAGGGGAGGAAGAGGGAGGGAGGAGGACGAGGTTAGGAGAGGAGGAGAAGAGAAGAAGGAAGAAGAAGAAAGAGGAGAAGAAGAAGAAGAAGCAGGAGGAGGGGGGAGAGGAGGAGATAGAAGGACGAGGTGGAGAAAAAAGAGGAGGAGGAAGAAGAAAAAAGGAAAGAAGAAGAAGAAGAAGAAGAGAAGAAGAGAAGAAGACGAAGTAGGAGAAGGAGGAGAAGAAGTAAGGAGAGGAGTGAAAAATTAAGAGAAGAAAGGAAGAGCCATAGGAGTAGGAAAAAAGAAAAATGAAAATTGAGATAATTAGTAGAAGAACAAAAAGAAGAAGGGGGAATAGGAGGCACGAGGAAAGAAGAAGGGAGACAGCGGGGGAAGATGAATCAAATGAAGTAATGATCATAAGAAGAAGAAAAAGAAATGAAGAGGAATAGAGAGACGAAGAGAGAACCAGGGCAAAGGAAGAGGAAGAGAAGGTGACGGCGAGGGAAGAGAGGAAGAAAAAAAGAAAAGAAAAAGAAGAAAAAAATGAAGAGGAATAGAGGAACGAAGAGAGAACCAGGGCTACGGAAGAGGAAGAGAAGGTGATGGCGAGGGAAGAGAGAAGAGAAAAAAAAATGAAGGGAATAGAGGAACGAAGAGAGAACGGAGAGGAGGAGAGGAAGAAAAAAGAAGAAGAAAGAAAAGAAAAAGAGAATAAGGAAAAAAAGAATTAAGGAGAAAGTCATACCGCATAACCACGCATACACCAAAATCCCAACGAAGTACCACCCTCTATGTTTTCCAGCATTGCCACCATCTTACAACAGCCAAAAACCTTCACTGCAGTATTACCACTTGTTTTTAACTTGCCGGTCACTTGACAGACCTAACAATCTGTGGCGTAATTAATATAGTAATTGCCGGTCACTTGACAGGCCTATCAAAATGTGGCGCAATTAATAAACAAAATTATTGCCGGTCACTTGACAGACCTAACAATCTGTGACGTATTTAATAAACAAAGTCATTGGCGGTCACTTGACAGGCCTATAAAACTGTGGCGTAATTAATAAACAGTGTCAATACAAGAGCTCCAACCACTATGATATCTGAGAAAGAGAGAGAGAGAAGAGAGAGAGAGAGAGAGAGAGGAAGAGAGAGAGAGAGAGAGAGAGAGAAAGAAGAAAGAGAAAGAAAGAAGAAGAAAGAGAAAGAGAAAGAGAGGAAAGAGAGAAAGAGAAAGAGAAAGAAAAGAGAAAGAAAGAGAGGAGAAGAGAAAAGAGAGAGAAAGAGAAAGAGAAAGAAAGAGAAAGAGAGAGAGAGAGACCAGACGGAGAAGCAACCAGACCTTGTATGGAACGACTTCTTACATAAGCGAAGCTACTTTATCTCCCATCCTATAGTGAACAAGGGTCTGCGGGTTGGGTTGGGAGAACTAGGGAAGGGGAAGGGAAGGGGAAGGGGAAGGGGAAGGGGAAGGGGGGGGGGAGGGGGAAGGGGAAGGGGAGGGAAGGGGGAGGGGAAGGGGAAGGGGAAGGGAAGGAAGGAGGGGAGAGGATGGGGGAAGGAAGGGGAAGAGGAGGAAAAGGAAAAGGAGGAGAGAGGAAGGAAGGGTCAGTAGGAAAAAGGAAGGGAGGAGAGAGGATGGGGAAGGAAGGGAAAGAGTAAGAAAAGGAAAGAGGAAAGGGAAAAGGGGAGGAAAAGGAAAAGGAGGGGAGAGGATGGGGGAAGGAAGGGGAAGAGAAGGAAAAGGAAAAGGAGGAAAGGGAGAAAAGAGGAGGAGGGAAGAAAGAGAAAGGAGATCGCAAGGCAAAAAAAAGAAGGGAGAGAGGAATAAAAGGAGAGAGAAAAAAGTGAAGAGGTGTCGATAGAAAAAAAAACAACAAAGGGAATGGAAAGGATAGGAAGGGAAGGAAGGAGGGTCGGGAGGAGGATGGGGAGGGGAGGAGAAGGAAGAAAGAGGGGAGAGAGAGGACGAGGTAGACGATATATTAACTAGTCTGACGAGTATATCAAATTACCCGCCCATGCAACGTTACACACGTCTTTGCAAGTATACATCATTTCTTCTATATTCATCTATCTATTTCATCTATTTCATCTATTCGGTGATACAAAATATACGTCTATATCATCTATCTATTTCATCTATTTCATCTATTCGTGATACTATTTCTTATCTATCATCATCTCATCGATACAAAAATATATTTCTTATCTATTCATCTCTTTCATCTATTCGGTGATACAGAAATATACCTCATTTCTTATCTATTCATCTATCTATTTCATCTATTCGGTGATACAAAAATTTACATCATTTCTTATCTATTCATCTATTTTATCTATTTCATCTATTCGGTGATACAAAAATATACCTCATTTCTTATCTATTCTTCCATCTATTTTATCTATTTCATCTATTCGGTCATACAAAAATATACCTCATTTCTTATCTATTCTTCCATCTATCTATTTCATCTATTCGGTGATACAAAAATATACATCATTTCTCATCCATCTATTTTATCGTATCTATGCATTTTGATTTCATCTATTTGGTGATACAAAAATATACATCATTTCTTCTATATTCATCCATCTATTTTATCTATTTGGTGATACAAAAATATACCCAATTTCTTATCTATTCATCTCTTTCATCTATTCGGTGATACAAAAATATACATTTCTTATCTATTCATCTATTTCATCTATTCGGTGATACAAAATATACATCATTTCATATCTATTCATCTATCTTTTCATCTATTTCATCTATTCGGTGAAACAAAAATATACATCATTTCTTCTATATTCATCTATCTATTTCATCTATTCGGTGATACACAAATATACATCGTTTCTTATCTATTCATCCATCTATTTCATCTATTCGGTGATACAAAAATATACCTCATTTCTTATCTATTCATCCATCTATTTCATCTATTCGGTGATATATACATCATTTCTTATCTATTCAATCCATCTATTTATCCATTCTGTGATCAAAATTCCAATAATCTATTTTCTAGATACAATATCCCATTTCTTATCTATTCTTCCATGTGATACACGCAGCGAGAACCAGCCTCACATACCTTACACTTTAAAGCACAGATGCATAAATAAAGTCTTCACTTTTGCTTTGGTATTGCAAGCAGGGCGAAAGAGATACATAAATAAACAAGGGTGTGATGAAGGTATCACAGGAGGCTATCGGTTTCCTGGTCGTCTTTTTTTCCTTCTTTTTTTTAGTATTTAATGAGTTTTTTTTTTGGGGGGGAGTAGATTATTTATATTTGGAGGGTCTTGTCGTTATTCTATACTCTACTCTCTGTCTGTCTCTGTCTGTTTCTCTGTCTCACTTGCCCTCTTTGTCTCTCTCTCTCCCTCCCCCCCCCCTCTCTCTCTCTGTCTGTCTTTCTTTCTGCCTGTCTGTCTGTCTGTCTCTTACACACACATACATATAAATGAATATGCATATATGCATATACATACATACATACATATATATATATATATGTATATATATAGCTATATATATATATTATATATATATATATATATATATATATATATATATATATATATATATATATATATATATATATATAGATAAATAAATAGATAAATAGATATGCATGTATAGATAAATATATATAAAGATTTGTGTGTATATATACATATATGTATATATATACACATATATATGCATATATACATATATATTATATTATATATATATAATATATAATACATATATATATATATATATGCTACATACACACGCATAGCATGCATGTTTATAATATGTTTATCCGAAATACAAAAACAAGCCAATCAAATATAAGAACGAAGAAAAGAGAGACAAACGCAATAATGAAGCAAAGACAACAAGAAAGAAGGAGAAAAAGCGATACTCCGAGTTAAATTCTGTAAGAAATAATAATGAAGTTGCATTATAAAACATTTCTTATACAATTTTCTTACGAGTTCCTAAAACCTTACATAGTTTTCCTTTTGCTTTGAATATCATAACAAAGTCTATTAATAAACGATATTGGGCTCTATTCTCTAACAAATATATATATATATATATATACATATAATTATACATATAATAATATGATTTATAAATAAATATATATACATATATATATATATATATATATATATATATATATATATATAATATATAATATATACAATACATACATATATATATATAATATATATATATATATATATATATATATATATATATATAGTGTTGTGTGTGTACATACATATATATATATATATATGTGTGTGTTTGTGTGTATTATCACATTATTACATACATATATATATATATATATAATATATATATATATAATATAATATTGTATATATAGTATTTACTGCAACCATTTACACAATCTCGAAAAACCGCTCGAAAACCTCATCTCTCGCTGAATTTTATGATTTTAGCATAAAAAACAGACTGCAACTTACTTGGCAAAGATGATGAAGAGGACGAAGAAGATGACCTGCAGAATGGCGACGATGACCCCGTGGGAGTGACTGTTCTTCAGCTTCATCTCGACGGTTCTCTATTTCCCCTTTCTCCTTCCTTTAAGTTCCCTTCTCCTCTTCTCCCTCCTTCGGTATCCTTCAGCGCCTCGTGCAGGAGAAACCGCCTCTGTGTAACCCTTCTGACGCTACCGAACTCCGCGCGCCGACATAGGGTTTCGCAAAAGCAATTTTTCTCTCTTTCTTTCTTCTTTAAACGGAGACTTCGGTGTTCCAGGGGCGGCAAAAGCTATTTTTCTCTCTTTTTTTCTTTTTCTTTAAACGGAGACTGCGGTGTTCCAGGGGCGGCGCTCTCCTTCCGCTGCCGAGGGCGTGGGGCTGGAGTGTGTCCCGCGAACGGTTCCCAAATCGAGGCTTAACCCCTTGGCGAGGGTCAGGCTACTCCCCCTCGGACAGCCAATCAGGGGGCTGCGTGGCTCCTCATGACGCCGCTTTCGTCATTGCAACGGCGTGACCTGATTGGCTGTTGCATGCCCATGGTCACACCCCCGGTTTGACCAATCAGAGAAGAGTAGGGAGAAGCGAGGCCTTCGGCTTGGGTATGGTGGGCATGTTATTTACGTCTTTGCTAATTTTTTTGTTCTCTTCGTATGTAAAAAAGTAAATAAAAATAAAATAAAATAAAATAGATCAAAAGCATCATAAACAAATCTCTCTCTCTCTCTCTCATTATCTATTTCTCTCTCTTTCTATCTCTCTCTCTCTTTATCTCTCTTCTCTCTCTCTCTCTCTCTCTCTCTCTCTCTCTCTCTCTCTCTCTCTCTCTCTCCCTCCCTCCCTCCCCCTTCTCTCTCTCCTCCCTTCCTCCCTCCCCTCTCCCTCCCCCCCCCCCTCTCCCTCCCCCCCCCCATCTCTCTCTTCTCCTCTACCTCCTCTTCTTCTTCTAAAAAAAAAAAAATAGATAAATAAGTCCAGTGACCTTGAACCATCCCCTCAGGTACCTTGTTGACAAAGTACAAGACGAACTTATCTGACCTTGGAGCTGAGGACGTGACCCAATGGCGGATCCATGTCCCTTAGTTCATGGAGGCCGATGGGAATTCGCTGATGATGATAATGATGATAATAATGATAATAATGATAATAATGATAATAATGATAATAATGATAAATGATAATAATAATGAAATAATGATAATAATGATAATAATGATAAATAATGATAATAATGATAATGATAATGATAATAATGATAATAATGATAATAATGATGATAATGATAATAATGATAATAATGATAATAATGATAATAATGATAATAATGATAATAATAATAATAATGATAATAATGATAATAATGATAATAATAATGATAATAATGATATAATGATAATAATGATAATAATGATAATGATGATAATAATGATAATAATGATAATAATGATAATAATGATAATAATGATAATAATGATAATGATAATGATGATAATAATGATAATGATAATAATGATAATAATGATATAATGATAATGGATGATATAATGATATAATGATAATAATGATAATAATGATAATAATAATGATAATGATATAATGATAATGAATAATGATAATAATGATATAATGATAATATGATAATAATGATAATAATGATATAATAATGATAATAATGATAATAATGATAATAATGATAATAATGATAATAATGATAATAATGATAATAATGATAATGATAACAATACTACTACTACTAATGATAAAGATAACGACAATAATAATAACAACAATAATAATGATGATAACAATAATAATGATCATGATAAATGTTAATGTTAACGATAAGAATGATAATAACAATAATAATGATAATGATAAGGGTAATAATAAGAATGATAATAACAATAATGATAATTATAATGTTCATGATAAGAATGATAATAATAATAATAACAATGATAATGTTAAGGTTAATGATAATAAAATGATAATAACAATAATAATAACAATGATAATAACAATAATAATAACAATGATAATGTTAAGGTTAATGATAATAAGAATGATAATAACAATAATAATGACAATGATAATGTTAATGTTAATAACAACAAGAATGATGATAACAATAATAATGACAATGATAATATTAATGACAACAAGAATGATAATACAATAATAATGTTAATGACAAATGATTATAACAATAATAATGACAATGATAATATTAATGTTAATAACAACAAGAACGATAAAAACAATATTTGCAAACCTGCGACAGACAATGAAGATGAAACAGCCATCACCCAAAGAATATTGATAATAAAAAAAATATACTTTCCTTTTTTACCCATTTCCTTTATTTACAACCTGTCTCTCTATGGAACGGATCCGCTTAAGCTCGTGCTTGTAAGTTCCTCCACGCACTTTTCCGCTTGGTTGCCTTCACCCAGTTATTCACTTTCATGTCGATGCCTTTTAAATG